TGTTTGCTATATTTAATTAATTTATTGCATTTCAAGGATTTTTTTGGTATAAATCAAATTTGAACTACAAGTGATTCAAATAATAGAATAAAATAAGTAGAAAAATGATATTCATGTTATTAAGTCCAGTACGAGGCCTTACCCAGGAAATGAAAAGAAATTTTGAACATCTTGTTCAGGAAACACGACCACGAACACGTGGCCGAATGGTTTTTAAATTCTAAAAAGAGCAAATGAAGTCTGAAAATCATGAGATTTGTCAAGATCTCGTGATATCATATGTGGAGGCCGTTGTAAAAAATTGAAAAGGTTTCACACAATGTGTCACGTACGATGTTTACAGATCGAAGTATCTCAGAAAAAAAATCGTAGCGTTGAGAAGAATTCGGTAAGATTTGGAGTCAAAGTGACGGTTGAATTGAGGTTTGACTTTAAAACTTTTTGTATAGGCAATAGAGAATATAGATTGATTCATGTGTAATTTTGGCAATTTGCTGGATCCGTTTGATAATTTTAATTTATTAAGTGCAATTATAGAATTTTAATTGATATAAATTGAATTTGCGCTATAACTGCATGAAATAATAAGTTTTTTCTCTCGTTTGACCTTGAAAAATTGTCTACTATCCACACACAACATGTGGTACTCCTTGTTAAGATTTGGTATATTTCTGGATCTATTTCCTATAATTAATTAATTTATTTCTTTTCAAGGAATTTTTTGGTATAAGTCAAATTTGAACTGCAAGTGATTCAAATAATAGAATAAAATGAGTACAAAATGATATTCATGTTATTGAGTCCAGTGTGAGGCCTTACTCTAGAAATGAAAAGAAATTTTGAACATCTTGTTCAGGAAACACGACCACGAACGTGTGGCCAAATGGTTTTTAAATTCTAAAAAAAGCAAACAAAGTCTGAAAATCATGAAATTTGTAGACCTCGTGATATCATATATGGAGGCCGTGGTAAAAAATTAAGAAGGTTTTCGCACAATGTGTCACGTACGATGTTTACAAACGAAAGTATCTTAGAAGAAGAATCGTAGCGCTGAGAAGGATTCGATAAGATTTAGAGTCATAGTGACGGTCGAATTAGGGTTTGACTTAAAAACTTTTCGTATAGGCAATAGAGAATATAGATTGATTCATATGTAATTTTGGTAATTTTTTGGATCCGTTTGATAATTTTAATTGATATAAATTAAATTTGAGCTATAACTGCATGAAATAATTAGTTTTTTTTTCTCTTCTGACCTTGAAACTTTTCTACTGTCCAAATACAACATGTGGTACTCCATGTTAAGATTTGGTATATTTCTAGATCTGTTTGCTATATTTAATTAATTTATTGGGTTTTAAGGAATTTTTTGGTATAAGTCAAATTTGAACTGCAAGTGATTCAAATAATAGAATAAAATGAGTAGAAAATGATAGTCATGTTATTTAGTCCAGTGTGAGGCCTTACTCGGGAAATAAAAAGAAATTTCGAACATCTTGTTCAGGAAACACGACCATGAACGTGTGGCCAAATGGTTTTTAAATTCTAAAAAAACAAACGAAGTCTGAAAATCATGAGATTTGTCAAGATCTCGTGATATCAAACGTGGAGGCCATGGTAAAAAATTAAGATGGTTTCACAAAATCTGTCACGTACGATGTTTACAAACCGAAGTATCTCAGAAGAAGAATCGTAGCACTGAGAATGATTCGGTAGGATTTAGAGTCCTAGTGACGGTAGAATTGGGGTTTAACTTCAAAACTTTTTGTATAGGCAATAGAGAATATAGATTGATTCATGCGTGATTTTGATAATTTTTTGGATTCGTTTGATAATTTTAATTTATTAAGTGCAATTATAGAATTTTAATTGATATAAATTGAATTTGAGCTATAACTGCATGAAATAATAAGTTTTTTCCTTTTCTAACCTTGGAACTTTTTTACTGTCCGCATACAATATGTGGTACTCCATGTTAAGATTTGGTATATTTCTGGATCCGTTTGCTATATTTAATTAATTTATTGCTTTTCAAGGAATTTTTTTGGTATAAGTCAAATTTGAACTGCAAGTGATTCAAATAATAGAATAATCAGTTTTTTTTTCTCTTCTGACCTTGAAACTTTTCTACTGTCCAAATACAACATGTGGTACTCCATGTTAAGATTTGGTATATTTCTAGATCTGTTTGCTATATTTAATTAATTTATTGGGTTTTAAGGAATTTTTTGGTATAAGTCAAATTTGAACTGCAAGTGATTCAAATAATAGAATAAAATGAGTAGAAAATGATATTCATGTTATTGAGTCCAGTGTGAGGCCTTACCCAGGAAATAAAAAGAAATTTCAAACATCTTATTCAGGAAACACGACCATGAACGTCTGGCCAAATGGTTTTGAAATTCTAAAAAAAAACAAACGAAGTCTGAAAATCATGAGATTTGTCAAGGTCTCGTGATATCATACATGGAGGCCATGGTAAAAAATTGAGAAGGTTTTGCACAATCTGTCATGTACGATGTTTACAAACCGAAGTATGTTAGAAGAAGAATCGTAGCGCTGAGAAGGATTCGGTAAGATTTAGAGTCAAAGTGATGGTTGAATTGGGGTTTGACTTCAAAAGTTTTTGTATAAGAAATAGAGAATATAGATTGATTCATGTGTAATTTTGGTAATTTTTTGGATTCGTTTGATAATTTTAATTTACTAAGTACAATTATAGAATTTTAATTGATATAAATTGAATTTGAGCTATAACTGCATGAAATAATAAGTTTTTTTCTCTTCTGATCTTGAAACTTTATCTACTATTCACATACAACATTTGGTACTCCATGTTAAGATTTGGTATATTTTTGGATCCGTTTGCTATATAAATTAATTTATTGCTTTTCAAGGAATTTATTTGTATAAGTCAAATTTGAACTGCAAGTGATTAAAATAATAGAATAAAATGAGTATAAAAATGATATTCATGTTATCGAGTCTGGTGTGAGGCCTTACCCAGGAAATAAAAAGAAATTTCGAACATCTTGTTCAGAAAACACGACCACGAACGTGTGGCCGAATGGTTTTTAAATTCTAAAAAAAGCAAACAAAATCTAAAAATCATGAGATTTGTCAAGATCTCGTGATATCATACGTGGAGGCTGTGGTAAAAAATTGAGAAGGGTTCGCACAATCTGTTATACGATGTTTACAAACCGAAGTATCTTAGAAGAAGAATCGTAGCGTTGAGAAGGATTCGGTAAGATTTGGAGTCAAAGTGACGGTCGAATTAGGGTTTGACTTCAAAACTTTTTGTATAGGCAATAAAGAACATAGATTGATTCATGTGTAATTTTGGTAATTTTTTGGATCCGTTTGATAATTTTAATTTATTAAGTGCAATTTTAGAATTTTAATTGATATAAATTGAATTTGAGCTATAACTACATGAAATAATAAGTTTTTTTCCTCTTCTGACCTTGAAACTTTTTCTACTATCCACATACGACATGTGGTACTCCATGTTAAGATTTGGTATATTTCTGGATCCATTTGCTATATTTAATTAATTTATTGCTTTTCAAGGAATTTTTTGGTATAAGTCAAATTTGAACTGCAAGTGATTCAAATAATAGAATAAAATGAGTAGAAAAATGATATTGATGTTGTTGAGTCTAGTGTGAGGTCTTACTTGAGAAATGAAAAGAAATTTCGAACATCTTATTCAGGAAACACGACCATGAACGTGTGGCCGAATGGTTTTTAAATTCTAAAAAAAGGAAACGAAGTCTGAAAATCATGACATTTGTCAAGGTCTCCTGATATTATACGTGGAGGCCATGGTAGAAAATTGAGAAGGTTTCGCACAATCTATCATGTACGATGTTTACAAACCGAAGTATCTCAGAAGAAGAATCGTAGCGTTGAGAAGGATTCGGTAAGATTTGGAGTCAAAGTGACGGTCGAATTGGGGTTTGACTTCAAAACTTTTTGTATAGGCAATAGAGAACAAGATTGATTCATGTGTAATTTTTTTAATTTTTTGGATCCATTTGATAATTTTAATTTATTAAGTGCAACTATTGACTTTTAATTGATATACATTAAATTTGAGCATTACTTTTTTTCGCTGAGCGTCGGTTTTAGCTCTCGGTAAAGTATTTGCCGAGTGCCCGATAGAAAACACTCGGCAAAGAGACGTTTGCCAATACTGTAGATGTCGTGTGCTGTTTGCCGAGTGTTACACTCGGCAAAACCTTTGTCGAGTGTTTTTGGGTCTTTGCTGAGTGCTTGTGGCACACGGCAAAGTCACTATTTGTGGTAGTTAGCAAATCTAATTCGGCCTTGATAGCAAAAGCCGGTTTTTGAGGGGCTTCACTCCCCAAAAGTGTGATTTCCTCATCTAGACTACGAATTGGATTTTGTATATATATGCTTTTCAATAGCGAAGTCCAACTTGCATTTTAAGAATGTACCAATCCGGATCTGGGCCCATTTTAAAACCATCCTAGGACGATTTTCCCTGAATTCGGTTGAGTTGGCTAATTTGAGCTGCAAACACCCAGAAAACCCACATCTTCGGGTTTGAGGTGAAAATAAATGGTTTGCTAACTTTAGGTTGATCTGATATCACTACTACGATCAAATGCTGATTAATAAACACGTACTACAATACAAAATGCTCTCATTTCCTAATTTGTTAGGTTAAAAAAAACATTCCTAATTCATAATAGGGTTTACAACTAAGACCAATATTATATACAAGTTGCTAGTCAGTAAAGCATAAATTCCTCCGTGTTGTGGCTCTGCTTTTGTATTGAGTTGACCCTATAGTCGGTACATCTATACCAAATTCGAGATCTAAAAATGTGTGTACTCTATTGTTTTGACAGATCTATTCTTTGTCATGAACAGTAAATCCACACTTTGATCCTTTCATGGAACCCTCCATTCTTTTATTTCTCCATCATTTGCTGGTTGATCCATGGTGTACATATATATGATCAAGAATTTCAGGTGGCAGTGATGTGCTGCTTTTGTTTTTCCTTTACTTCCTCATACCAGTCCATGATCGAGCCTTGCAGTTGGATGGGTTCATGTGCTGCCCATAAGTTAAGGAAGTGAGAGATCCAATATGTCAGACACTCAAACTCCTCATCCTGTCCTGGCAAGAGCTTCCTTCTCTTAGCTACATGAAGTGTTTGCTGTGTGCTTGGCATGAAGATGCTTGCTCTCTGAACCTGAATGTATGCAGTGCCATGCTTAGACCTCCAAAGCATTTGGTAGACTGCCGCTTCCTCATTCTGGTAGAAGTAATCTATAGCTTTTGGTAGCATGATGTCCTCAAGTTGTCCCAAGGTAAAGACAGTATGCAAAAAAAGTTGCTCCTCACTGTAGATTGCTGCTATTGCAGGAAACTTATCCGCAAGCAACGTGTCCTCTGAAGAACCATGTGGAGCAAACAGGACTCCAGCTTTTAGACATGGATAATCGCGTACAGAAGTTTTATGTTTGGACAGTGTGGCCCTCTGTTTGTTGCACTCTGAGAGCGAGACTTGGCACCGCAAACCTACTTCAATAACCGGTTCTAGAGAAACAAATGGTAATCCAAATGACTTGTCTAGCTTGCTACCATGACAGAGCTTGTGCTTATCATGCCCTTTGCAACACGGTTTGGGCGAAACCATTGAGTGCCAAATTTGTTAACATTGTCCCAAAATTTCGGCTGGTGTGAATCAACATAATTTGGTACCCACGAGAACTCTTGAGTAGGTAGTTGCATAAGTTCTTTCCTAATGTTTTCAACCATAGACATGAAAAGAGGGGCAAACAGCTGTAAGCACTGAATTGCAACCCCAACTATGTCTGTACTCTCGAAAAGCTGTAGCGACACTGCAAGGCAAAACTCATCATCCAGCACATTACAATCTTTCTGCATGAAGTAAAGCCTACCATCTATTCCATGCTCGTCACTAATAAATGGTGCCAACAGTAGAAACAAAGGGCACTTGTTGGCCCTAATGATTCTATGCTTTAGTATCTTGCCAGCAAGTAGGTGCCTGATAAGAGGGTCAAAGGGCATGTTACACCGTGGCGTGCCACCATGCTCTAGTAATCTCAGAAACTCACTAGCACCATCAGCAAACCACTCAATCTTTGAACAACGGATCTGTTCAAGTCATTGTTGTCATGGTTAAAGGACGTACCCAGTGCAAAGAGCTCCCGTTCTATGCGGGGTCTGGGGAAGGGTGTCAGTGGCAAGCCTTACCCTCGCCTATGCAATGCGAGGAGACCGCGACTCGAACCCGGGACCTTTCGGTCACAGGTGGTAAGACTCTACCGTTTGCACCAGACCATTGCACAACCCTCTTATGAAGGCAAAAATTACTTAGTTCCTTCCATATGTGTTCGTTTTCTTGGATTTTCTGCTTGCCTTTGTGCAGCGTGTCAGCGCACTCTTGAGCTGCAGACTTAAGCTTCCTATGCCAATGCAAGAAGGATGTATCAGTGATCTGCCATTTATTAGAAGTCTGAAGAATAGCCTCCAGCCTGATGTGTGCCATCTCTAGCCTCTCAAGGTTTCAGAATGCATTTGAGTTCTGTTTCTCTTTACATTTTTGAAACAGACAAGATACAATTTGGCTAACTGACTCCTGAACAACTGTAGAACCAACAATCTCCGCCATTAGGATTGAAACATCTGCAAAAATATCCCTTCCGTGTTCAAGATATTCAACATACAACAGTAATAATGAGATATTAGATACATGAACTTTGGATCACAGGCAATGATTTGGCTTAATGGGGGTAAGAACCTACCTTTGATTGAATTGCAGACGTGAATGGTGGACACCTATCCTGTGTACAGATATGTCTTGGGGGGAAATCGCACAGCGTGGTAAGATGAGAACTTAAAGAGAAGACAGTGATGTCCAAGACTTTGAGGGGGAATGTGTGCATGATGGTCTCTGCAATGGAAAATTTGGTCAAGAAGTCTTCGTCAACTATGAGAATATCTAGCTACTTATTCCATGTTTGAATGGAAAAAGCCAACAGGCAATAAGTTGACAGAGCTCGAAGAGTTGCATTGAAGTTTCGTGGAAAATCAATTGTAGAATTGTGCAGTAGAGTAACAAACAAGGGCAGGAATTCATCCACACAGCACTATACAAGGAACATGGAAAAGTCTTGGTTGCTTGTCACTGGCAATTTCTGGTAGATGAAGCCAATATGTGAGTCTTTCTCGGTTCATTTTCAGGACACCCTAGTCTGTTGACCGATGATCGACTCACTAGCATTTTCTCTTATTTGTCATTTTTTAGTGTCCTCCCTAATTGCTCGATGCCGTGTAAATTCGGTCCAACAAACTATTGTCATAGTGTCAGTGAAAAAGGACAGTATTTGATACACAAAATTGCAACTAAGCGGAAAAAAAGAAAGTAAAAAATCGAACACAAAACTGCGACCGAGGAACAAAAAGTGGATTATCTCTAATGAATAAAATGGATCAGAAATACACCAAAGACGGGCTAGTTCCTCGTAGGACAGTTCGGTTACAGATACTCCTGTTGCAAATTGCAATGCATCAAATGTTCAACTAATAAGACAGGCTAATGCTACTCTGCTCCTGCTGCAATCGGAACTAACGGAATAACAGGCTGTGGACTCTGGACTGTGACGTCGGGATTGGGGAGCAAATCGACCGTACCTCGAGTCCACGAGAGCGCCTTCTCGTGTGGTGGGAAAGGGTGGCGTCGGCTCGGCCATCCTCTCCGCCCGGCTGACGGACGCGCTTCTTCCTCCTCCCCACGGCGGTCGGCACTGCGCTGGGCGCATCGCGCCCCTCTCCATCCCCGCCACCTGTCACCTCATCGTTGGTGTACAGTTGACCAGACGGTCCCGGCCCAAAGTCCGCTCTGCTTTGTCTTGGGCTCTTGGCCCAAGCCAAACGTGTTGGCTCATTTTTGCATTTTGCCTCGGAAAAAATCCATATTACCTTTCTCAACTTTTGCAAAAATCTACTTTTCCCCCTGCACTCTAAAACCAGGCTCGGAGAGGGGCCTGCTCGGAGCGACGGGATGCAGCCGAGGCCCGGAGCGGCGCGCCTGGAGAGAGGCAGCCGCACCAGCATAGGCGGGACCCGGCGGCTGCCGGTGGCCACTGGTGTGGTCTGGCTGGCGGACCCATGCGGGCGGGACCGGAGTTGGGTGTGGGTGCAGGCGAGCACCCACCCCACGGCGCGTCGTCATGGGCGGCCCGATGGATGTCGCTCTGGTGATTCCACGTCCTTGGCCGGATCCGTCTGCTGGGTGGCCGGATCTGTCACCTGGTTGGCCGGATCCGTCGCCTTCTGGGCCCCTCCGTCCGCCTCGGTCGTGGACAGCGACACACGCAGGAGCACTAGGGTTACCGCTTCCACGCCATCTCTGGTACCCACCGCCGCTGCTCTCCCTGTTCGTCCTCTTTCGCTTATCTTTTCCGCTCGTCCACTCCCGATACTTGCTGGTGAGGGTCCATTCCTCTCCCTCCCCTCGTCCTCTTCCCACCTCTGTCCCTTTTCCTCTTCGGTTTTGGGGGATTCGAGTTCAATCCTGTTAGATTTTGGTTTTGAATACATCTAGATGATTGATTTATTTTTCATGGAGGCTATTCTAATCCACCGGCCTGATGATTAGCATTGTATGCACAAATAACGGAGATCTTAATGCACTTCTCGTCGAACCCTGCTTGACCGCTGTGGTGGATCATGTGATCCGTGGTACACAAACTGGCCTGAGCTCTGCTCATTGGCAGACATATTACCCCCTCTGTTCTAAAATATTTGAGGAGTTCTCTCTGTGAGAGGGAAACTAAAACCGCACACACATTTATCTATTTATTTATCTATGTGTGTGTGTGTATCATCTATGTGAGAGGGAAACTAAAACCGCACACACTTAGGTGGCTGAGCAGGCTCCGGAAAATGCGTCTGTACATGCAGAGGTTATGAAGGCTACCCCAAATTGGAAGAATGCCCTGCCAAAATTCACAGCTTATTTATCAAGTACTTTAGCACTATTTTTTTAGAAGGTCAATTCTTTATCACTAAATGAAAAGCTGTTCCTGTTATAAAGCACTGCATTGCAACCTAGGCTGCTTGTGATGTGGTCATCTTCATGTTAATTATTTCGCTTTAGCTTAACTGATATTTGAGTTACAAACATGCAGACATTTTGTCCTTTCTACATAAATTACTTTTGTCATTTATCTACTATCTATGTATCTAACAAGCCAAAACATCTTACAATTTGCAATGGAGAGAGTAGCTTACAAGGTGGATTGCTGATTTCCAAATTATTTTTACATCTCTCTCTCTATTGAAATCAGCAGGCCTGATCACTTAGAACAGGACATGGCTATTATCCTATTGATGATTTGCTATTTATGCTATGTACAGTTCTGCTTGCAGGTGTATGATGAGGCTAAAGGTATGCTAATTATTGTTCTTCTCATTGAAAGTGAAAATATGGATATTGTGCTGTTACACAAATGCACAATGTCAGTTGCTACTGTGAACATTGCTTTTATGGGCAGCTATGCTCTTCTAGAAGTGACTTTACTTTCAGTCAATTGTATTGTTGTCTGCTATTGCATACCCTTTTCCTTTTTCCGGGTTGTCAGCTTGCTCCTGCACAATGCAGGTGCCAATTGCCTAACAAACCTGCCTACCTTGTTCTCCATTCATGAGACCATCGACTCTGCTGGTCTTTCGGCAAGTCATCTAGCCTTTTTATTTATAGATGTCTATATTAGGACATGTACACTCGATTAGGCAACAATAAATACTCATGTGTTTCCAGTCTCTTCGTCAAGTTGGTTCAGATCTGGCTTGCCAGAATTCTTCTTCGGTTACGATAAGCATTATAAAGGTTGTCTGTAGGCCTTAATTCCCTCTGTGCTATATTTTTAGCTTTTTTCCCAGTACTGTGTAATAACAAATTGTTTATTTTGTGGCAGTCATTGATTGGCCATTTTGATCTGGACCCAAATCGTATTTGATATTGTGAGTCTTCATTTGCTACTCTTTCGTTATTAAATGTCGGAGAGTGTGGTGTTGAATTTGTGTAATTTCGTTATTCTTGTTAGCGTGTGTTGGAATGCTTTGAACTCTATCAAGATAGTGTCGATGTTTTACCACCGATAGCTTCGCCACTTGGGTACCCGGACGATTGTTCGGGCTTGGCCGAATAAAGCGGAATTCATGGTTACGCAAAGAGACTCACGATTTATGTTTGTTTCAGCCCTCGACTTGGTCGAGTAATAACCTTACGTCCAGTTTTGGTGTTAGCTTTGCTTTTGCGTTGTATTGCTTTGAGTATCGGTATGCGTTCTCTTCTTACAATGGGTACCCTCACCAGCCCTTTATAGTCCAGGCACTAAGAGGTGTTTGTTTTCTATTCGGATACAAGGTCAGAGTCCTAAGCTACGCTTCGGGCGCCTTTCCTTATATAGTTTGCGTTGGAGTTTTGGTTTTGCATGTTGCTTTGCTCGCGCGTTCTTCTTGGCGATTGAAATTTGTAGGCCTTGTTACCAAGGTCTACCTCCTGCTGATATGGTCCATGGGGACCCATAGGGTTCCCCATCGACAAGCCCCCGAGCATTTCATGATTGAGCTTCAAGGGCCGAGTTGTTGTAGTCTTGATCCGGGTCCTTCTTGAAGTGAAATCTTGAGATGGTCTTCTTTGATTCTTTTTTTGGCTGATGTACACTTTTGCTTGATGTCCTCCGGGCTCTTTTTCCTTTGAGTGCAGCGAGTGCAATTTTTGCAAAAATTGCACTCATTGAGTGTAGCCCCCGAGCCTTCTGTTTTTTGGTACAAAAAGCTGGAGGGTCAAAAAATTTGAAAATATGTTTTTCTGTGGTAGGTACTTGCAGCCCCCGAGCCTTCTCCGGGTTCTTTTCTGTTGAAAAGAAGCCGAAAGAAGGGTCTTGATTTGTACTTCTTTGATCTTTGTCTTTTGCTGGTCACGGATGGGTCTTGTATAGCCATGAGTGAGCGTCTTCTTTTACTTTTTATCAGGAATCTTGCTTTTGGGTACTATT